ACTCCCTAAAATGTGCAATTTATAGAGGAAATTGGCCTACCGTAACAAGAAATGCGCGCATTTGAGAATTTTAGGCACTTTCAGAGGATGCATTTGTCAAAGGGTGGGGAAAGATTTTCCAAAGATGGATATTTTCCCCTTGTCCCCCGGTGTTTTTAATTCTAATTTCGTTGGAATTGATCAAAACTCCCTAAAATGTGCATGGCCCAATGTGGAAATTGGGCCATTGGGCTTAACAAGAATGCGTGCGAAATTTGAGGTTTTTAGGCACTTTCAGGGGATGAAAGGGCATTTATAAAGGGGTGGGGAAGATTTTTCAAAGATAGATATTTTCCCCTTATCCCCCAGTGGTTACACCATCGGGCAGCATAGATCAAAGGAGTTATGACAGTTTTTGAAGTGGAGAAGGGGTTGCAGGGTGTTGTGAGTCTGGTCATTATGATATCTTCCTTTTTATTCTTGTCTTTATTTTTCTCTTCTCTTTTTCTTTCCTTTTCTTTTCTTTCCTCTTCTTCCTCTTTCCCTCCCCTCTTTCTTTTCTCTTATTACCCAGCCCGGTACGATGGCTTGGGCAGCCCAGTAAAAACCGTCAAGGGAGCCTGTTACGACACTGGCTAACCCCCGCGCCTGTTACTACACTGGCTAACACGCTAATCATCCCCCCCAATGAAAAAAATTTTTCTACGCCACTGCTTGGTTGGGACCCCTACGTGGGACATGTGGGACCCCTTGTCGGAAAATTTCTGGAGCCACCTATGCCCATTACCTTACAACTGAAAATTAAGACAAGTAATAATAGTGCTCCAATCCTCTGTATACAGTTATGGCTCTAGGACATCAGGGGATCTTACAATTTCCAATTTAATTAATTTTGGGCCATTTTACCGTAAGTCATTCCGAAAAGTTTTACTAAGTGTTATGCTCAGTACAATTCGAGAACAATGGCCATTGGTTCATCAGTGTAATTGAGCCCTACCACTGTGTGTAAACCTGTTAAATTGTAAAAGTAAGAGAATAACCCAGAAGTCACAGATCATTGTGCTGGAATTGCCTACGGGCGTGGTTCATGACTACCTAGTCGCCGCTTGTTTACATCATTCAACAAATATACCGACAGATATTTTAAGGATTTTCGTAGTTGTTGATGAGTGTTCAGTATGTTTAAATCACAGGTGGGGAAGTGCAGCCCGACATCAATTTTTTTGCAGCCAGCGAAAATGAATTAAAAACCCTGTGTGCAGCCTTGCCAGGCAACACTGGCTAGAAAACACCTTGTTGTTTACAGGCCGACACCGATCCTATGTAAAAAGTAACATAAAGTGGTGTAAAAGCAGCGCTTTAAGGTTTTTGCAAGTGTTAAAATCAAAAATTCACTTTGGCCCTCCGACTGATTTTTATGCCTTGGTTTAAAGGCTCACTTATAAAATGATTACGGTATAAACTTTTATTTAAAAAAAAACAAACAAAACTACAGTTTGCACTCTCAAAATGAATTTATTCCCTTATTAAAGATACATACAGTACATTGAGAAATAAAAAGGAAAATTATATAGATTAATATTTCAATAATAAACACTTAGTAACAAAGAAAAAGATTCACTGTGTTACTGCGTGACTAGTCAATAAAAAACCAGCACAATTGTGTTATTGTTCAAACATTAAAACGTGTTGGAATAATTTTTCCATTGTTCATTTAGTCAAAGATGACATTACCAGATGACGACGACACTAAGACAATAAAAAAATAACACCCAAAATACTTTCAAGGATTATTTTTAAAAAGTACTCCATTGGTGGCGGTTACTGTGGTGGGTCACTTCAGAAACTTCCAAGCAACCAAAACGAGAAATGTCCTTTTTTATTTAGAAGCAGTTTAGAGTGGACGAGTAATTAGAAAATGATGTGCTTATGGCAATATCAGGCTGCGGTAAATATACCGAGAAAATATTATCGAAGGCACAAATTTGTGGGAGTAGAGCACTGTATAAAAAAAAAATTATACAGCTTGTTGGTCTACGCTCTAATAACTTTGGTGGTATTACAACTCACAACCAACTCTTATACAGTACAGTATTTCAACATTAAAATGGCACCATGTGGGTAAATATGAGTCCTTGGTATAATAACAATATCAATGTCAGTGCATTCCCCTCCCCCTGTAATAAGGGCAGAGACATAATACCTTTTAGTAAGAACTGCATGTGCCAACCATTCCACCTTGAGGGTTTGTCAGTGTTTCAGATACAGATGTATTTTCTACTCAAGAGATCAATTTGGCATTGTTTAAAGATAGTAGCTTATTATTTGCCACTTCAATTCTCGGACATATCATTAAAACCTAATATAATGGTATACATGCCACACATACTGTGTTAACTGTTAATGCACCTATGTAGCTGATGGAACACATTAAAATGTTTCCTTAAAGCTTTTTAACAGTACCTCATAATTGACACCCACCCACTTGCACCTCACCTTCAGATGAGATTAGGTACTATAATTTTTAATGCTATTATAAATAGCAATCAATTTGGTATGGTTTATTTCCCTGTACTGCCAACAGAACACTAGCTATAGTATTGTTAGCGGTTCAATCTTCTTTTTAGAAAAATTATCTCTAGCTAATTGTAGACCATCTTTCTATAGTGCTTCATTCACAACAGCAATCATCTACTACACAGCTAACAATAAAGTACAAACAACAGGCCACAGTGCTTTGTATTTTCAATCCCATACTTTCTCAATCGATAATTCATACTACAAAAATCCATGGATAAATATTAGAATTTAAGGGAAGTAGAATTTATATAATCATTGTAACTAGGAATAAAATGCAGGTTTACAGTATTTAACAACAGACACATATCTCTAAATCTAGTTGATTCTGTGGAGAAAGCAACATTTTGACTGTTAAAAAAATAACGCGTTATTGAAGGCATGTACTTGTGCAATTCTCGCTCCAGTAATCATCAGCACATTGAAACATTACGAATGATGCTGTGTCAAAATTCATTTGGATATCATTATTACCATGGAATCACTCAACATCGCTGACTCAAGGCTTTCAACATCAGAGTACCACTTGATTTGGCATCACGTTTTTTTAAATTCACCATTTTTCCAATTTCACTTCAAATTTACAGACATTAAACTCCTAGAAAAAGGACTTACTGTTACTGGTATAACAATCTTTCATAAAAATTATGCTCGACTGATTCAAATTGATTCTGCATACTTAAATATAGGCTTTGTTGGTAAAAGCATGGCACAAAAATACTTGAATATGAAACTTTAAATTATCATCATTGGTATTGGTTTCAATTAAAAATCACAAACAAAATATTTAGATTTCATTGTCGTTGATCATTAATGATAACAAATTTTTCAAGGTAGACACACTACCTTTCTTACTAGGGACTACAAGTTGATCATCGCAATTTGACACTCAAAGATATATTAATATTGGCTCAGAGCCGAAATTCATTCATTAATAATCATTAAAAAATAAAAGTGGTACTATGATAAACTGTCTAGAAAATAAAATATTTGACAATTAAAAATTTTAATACAGTATTAAATTGTTGTACAGGTTTTTAACCCCCAATGAATTATTCCAAGAAAACGATTAAGGAGGTTGGCAATATTTAAAATAGTTCCCAAATTCTTAAGCAGAGTCCTTGACCTAAACTCAACACAATAATGACTTTATAAATGCTATGCATTATAACATTAATGATAAGTGCCAATTTTATTGCTCAAATGTTACTTATTATTAATTCCTCTCAAACTTTCGTAATCATTGACGATTGTAGTATCTCACATTAAAGTGAAACGATGGCAAAACAATGCACCAGGATAATAATAGAACCATTGAGAAGAGAGATGCTACTGTTAGTGTTTCATCTCAACAAACCATTACAGCCACACTGATAACTGACGCACATTTCACACCCACTTTTCAAAACAATTAAAATACTTCCAAGCATCTCCCCTGCGTTCTAACATTTGTTATCAATACGACTTCAAACCCTCAATTCATAAAATTCATCTAGAAACTTAACAGTATTGTAATTGTTTTTTACTACTAAATTATTATTATAATTATTATTATATTCTTCGGCATAGAAAATGGCATAATACCGAAGGTAATTTAAAAAAAGTAACATTCCTTCCATACATAGAAAAGAATCCACAGGTTATAATAAATAGCAGACAGAACACAAACAAATTAGTGGAGGACCTATTTTCTATTAGTGTATAAACACTTAAATCTTCATGTGGTGAATTGGTGGAGGAGGCTGGTAAATCCTTTCACTGGATACAGCATTTCTCCCCGTTCATCTTTAGTCGTTTCTTTGAACGATACTTCTCCAGGAAGTCGAGCTGTCTGGCATTGATAGCACCACGCCGTTTCCTGTGGACCAGCAAAAGGTCATTATTTCAGTACGCATTTTTAATGAGAAATTCTCAACCTGTTGTCCTTGAGGTTAGTGATGGTATCTGATAAGCATAAGGTACTTAGCCACTCGGTCACAAACTGCTTACGTCAATCGATAGATAACATTTTGTAATCATTGCCAATTTAGAATTCTACGACCGTAATAAAACACATTTTCTTGAAATACAATAATTCAATTTGTCTTCCTGGAATTCTACCTTAGCCTGTACTATATGCTAATTGTTGCTATAGTAATTTCATCTAGTTTATTTTACTATGGAAACGAAGAAAATTCATTTCATTTGGAGTATCTGCATAATTTAGTATTGTAGGCAAAATACTGACTGATTCGTAACCCATGGTTTAAAGAGTTACTAGTTTCTTTTTAGAACATAATTCATAATATGTTTTAAAAATTAACTTAAATTTTGAGGTGTAATTCGCTTTATATATTATATATTTTTATTGTCAACGAGAAAAAAAAATGCTTTAAATATACAAGTTATAGCATATTGAATACGGAAATGTTACATACCATTTTGTATTTTATATTATTACTTCCTCGCATATGCAATTAAAATAGCAGGAAGTTTTTATATATAAAACAATCTAATTTCAAAACAGTAAAATATCATTCTACTTATTGTATCAAAATATAAATGTGTTTATATTTTGATACAATAAGTAGAATGATATTGTATCAAAATATAAATGTGTTTAATACGCTTAAAATAATTATGCGATCTAAGATGAATAAAGGTTAAAAAACATTCTTTAGATATTTTCCTTTAGATAATTTAATAATGCTTGTAATTAGCATATTTTCATATTAAAAAATGGAATTGCATAGATAAACTGAATACTGAGGTATTGGCAGAACATATAGTAAAAGGAAATACATGCGGTTGTATTTAATAAGATAGCTATAAAAGCTACAATAATGACCCACTATCAGGGATCGTCTTCATATTAAGCATTGTACTCAAGAGAGCTTTAACTAGTACTTTCCTACTCCCTTTATGATATTATACAAATTATTTTTTTTTTCATAAGAAAGACTTAATGATAAACAAACTATGTTATTAAAGCCAGGCTCTGGAAGAAAACATTTTTTTTATATGTTGTAGAACTGATTTTTTTAAAACTTTTTTAAACTCTGTATTAAAAAATCTGTACCTAATTAACTGGCCAAAGTTTTCAGTCTAACACCCTTTTTGTGTCTTAAAAAATTTGTTTTAGAACATAAGAGATTTTTGTTCCCTCTGGATCCTGACTTGCTATGGACATATGTTTGGAATAATTTTGCTACCTCCTTTTCCATTCAAGTTTGTCGCAAGCCCTTATGGATAATTTATTCAATTGACATCCTAATTTTATGTCCAACCCGCCTTTATATACAATTTTTTTTTTTTTAATTAAGAAAAAAGATGTCAAAACTCACTGGCGAATTAGCTGTACAGCATCAGAATAGGACATGCCTGCCTCCATCAGGGCCAAGGCTACTAAAACAGGAGCTCGACCTAGGCCAGCAACACAATGCACAGCAATACAACAACCAGGTATCTCAGCAAAATTGCTCCTCAGAAGATCAAACCACTGGCCGATGATGTCGGTGGTGGGAGGGCCGCCATCATCAAAAGGCAAATCCTAAACAAATAAAGAACATAATTTGATAGCGACATCAATATATTTTTTTTTTTTTTTTTACTACCAGTACAAGGATAACATGCAGAAATTCAGTTATGATTTTCTGCTGGGTGGTGAACTTTGAAAAGTCACTGGTAATAAAAGTGGGTCATTGTCCTTTATGGCTCTAACAACATAGACTTCAAACATACCTTAAGATAAAAAACAAAAGATAAATTTTTCACCCCAGATAATGATAGTACACTTTTAGTGGGGTTGAATATCTTGGTTGTTATGATTGGTCTTGGGTTCAATTCCTTGACAGTAGCAGGATTTTCTTTCACGACCAAAAGCAATTCCACTCTCATAGAGAGACTTGCGCAATACAGAGCATTTTGTGTCACATTAAAGTGATTTAAAGATAAATAAAAAATAACTCACAAGTACTTGAATGCCTTCCTTAGCCAGCTTATTAGCATCGTATGTAGGCTCACATACACGAACAACATACTTAATGCCTCTATTCTTCAGTTCCTGTAATATACAATGCAGGGCACAATGTCAAAAACATTTCTAAGAAAACAATACACAAACAATGGAGCGAATGAACTTCTAAATAGGTTCATTCAATCGAAATGCTATACGACCTAATAATGTGAATGGTGGTTTAGCTTGCTTCTAAACAACAAACCACCAACTAAAAAATTACATAAGTTGTTTACACAGCCAATAATGATCCAAAACTCAATTTTTTACATAAAACATAAACAACAGAAAAAAAGAAGAACAAAAATATTTTTACTAAATTGGTGTAGACTAACTATGTATCTCAACTCAAATATTTATATAAGTTATATAAATAATTTCCTTATAATTAAAGAGTCATTCAACTTTTGATGAAAATGAAATTGCAAAAATATAAACCTAACAGTTTTATGGTAAACAACATCATGGTCAACAAGCACAACATAAGTCACTACGTGACTAAGAGATTTTCATTCTAGGAAATTAAACCCAATAATTTTGCCCAAGAGAGTAGTTAATCTATGATTTAATGGAATATTTCTTTTTTTACTTAAATGATTTTTGATTGCAATTTGATTTTTGCTTCAGCTAATGTTTGTCTCTTATACAGTACTACTGTAGCCTAAAAGGCATATTGATCCCCACAAGTAATATACAGTATGTGTGCTAGTTGGATTCCTGAAGGCAAACAAGATGGTTACCCTGATCATGTCACAAGATTAAAGAAACCTTTTAAAAATGTACTGATACACCAAAATATGAACTACAGTATTACTTCATTTCGTACTCAAGCATTATTATCATAAAAGGCAATTTTTATAAATTTACATAATTTTCAGTACTGTAACAACTTTCAGTTCTGCTCTGTCAAGAAACAAAACCTAAATACCAAAATTAACTTTGCGACATATTTTAGCTTTCAAACATACATCAAATATTTATTATTCACATATCAACACACAAAAAAAATTGACTGGTTAAATATAATACAATAGCAATGCACTTTCTTTCGTACTGTACTTTTATCAAGGTTAAGAACAAATATTTCACCAGCAATTTTACACTTACACTATATTACAAATACAATGATGATGTAGCTTTTATTTGCAGTTGGTAAATAGCAATTTGGAACATTTATTTCCAATTACTGTAAAATAAGTGACCATAACTATTTTTCTATATATTTCTTCGAATATAATGGAGGTTTGCCTTCCCTAATACCAGCAACAAATAAAAATTAACTTTTCTTTATTCTACACATTATACAGGTAAGCTTTAAATGATGGTAATTTACTGAAATTGACTTACTATTGGCAAAGTTATAAGTACCAATATAGCGCCTTCTCTGTATTAATAAAGCATACAGCACAATACTGTACAATTCTTATGCTAATTAGTCAATTCAACATTGAGCAACAGTATGCTTGTTTTGGGATGGGATCCCTCAATTATAATTTTCTTGTTTGAATTTAATACCACTATAAAGACTTTTGTTATTATCACTGGAACAGATCAACATAAAATAGACCAAAGTACAATTTACAACAGATCTCAATGATAATTTATGTAACATCATTAAGATCTTAAAATGTCATTGATGAGAAATAAATTTTACAATGTGTGACAGTTGATATGTATGTAATTGGTCTACTGAAATATGTAAAACATGAACTAGACTGACGAAGGAGTCAGTGATCGGAGATAGAGGGTGAATCAAGGAATATTTGTTGTTGGCAGTGTTGTCGTCAATGTTGTCTACAATGAATAAGATATTCAAAATTGTGATGACCTAGGTGCTTACAGATTGGGTTCGAAATATATAAACAAGGAAGTTATCAAAAGAATATACTTACTTGTATGAAGCTTTCAACTGTGTGTTTGTCAGGGTTGTTGACGATCAAGAACTTCATATTCTTGTACTCAATCTCAGCAGGCGGTGGCTTATTACTACTCGCCATTGTGTTATCGTGATACCGCATTGATAGGGTGCTGTAACTGTTAAGGGACTATCCAGACAACGAAGGCAGGAATGCCAGTTAAGGGGGTCCTTGAAAATTCAAGTGAGGTAGGAGACGCACCAGAGTGCACGCAAATCTACTTGCACGGATTGTTCGTCAGACTTGGCTTAACCCATCCGAGATGGTTCTGTTTTTGCACCAGGCCCAGTTTGGAATAAAAATTCTTCACAGCAATAACGAATGGATTCGAGATGGAACGTTGAGCTTGATGTGTGGACAGCAAGCTCAACCAGGAGGGTCTTGTTTAGCTAGTCACTCGTGCTGGCTTTGGCAATATTCTCCAGCCTCTACAACGATCGCCATAAAGCAATGAGCACAGCTTTGACAGTACTGATGAAGAACAAAAATAAACAAGAACATTTTATTAAAATTTATTAATGAATCAATCAATACAATAATTATAGCAACAGCATTGATAATATACTGTACACAAAGTATTATTAGACCACATACTGTAAACACCCTACCCAACAATCAATGAAAGAAAGAATAAATGAAATATTCAAAGCAATATCCATGGCCAAAACTTGAACCCTATCCAAACAATTTGGTATCATGTATTGTACAGTATTTCTATTATAGCCAAGTACTGTACTGTAACAACTGTAACAAAATACTGTAGAAGGGGGTAAATACAATAGCCAGTTTCATATAATATAGAACAGTAGTCAATGGACCTAAGTGTATGTACAGTGTTTCACCAAGTCGTGTCAATATTCTACAAACACTTTTATCACATAGTGAAGATGGCATATGCTGGTACAGTATAGTTTTTTACTATCAATTTGTTAGTCAAAATTGTCACTCATCAGGACTTATTATTTCAAGAACAAATTAACTATCCATGTCATGTCACTGCAACCATTTCTATACATTTTTATTACAAGTCTGCAGCTAATGCCTTGCTTTTGAGTTCTCAACTCATTTTGCATTCATGCCTTTTATCACTACAGATATGAATACTACTATCTTTACTATCAAATACTGTTATCCTACACAATAAACTTGGCTATGCATAGCAACATGCACTATGACTGCCTCAATCAATTGTACACCCACTGACTTCTACTGTTATAATACCCATGGGAATGCTAATATACAATGATATAATTCTTCCGAGAATTGATTTTTCTGAGAAATGAAATACAGGTATATTGTTTGAATTATTGCAGAGGAGCAAGGACACTGGCTTTTATTTTTAAAATCACATATTAAGTTAATATAATTTTTCTTGAAATTTTGATCACAAAAAAACAGGGAGTTTTTGAATACTAGTACTCAAATTCCTATAAAGTCGTACTGACACTAAATAACCTGGCTAAATTTTATAATCAAATTTATTTATTTAACTTCCTTTTATGATAGTGCACTTACAGTACAGTAGCTTTCACATCAAGCAAACATGAACCTACAGTAGTTTACACACACATAAAAAATAATCAAATATAAACAAATTTTATCCAACACTAAAAATTATTAATTCTTTACAATTTGAGGCATGTTGTGGCGAAATGGTTAAGTTGTCGCACAGGCCAGTATTGAGTAAATGAGCTTTAAAATATGGGAGCTCAAAAAATAGCCTAAAAATCCAAATTTGTTTTTCACTGTAGATCAACAGTTTAATGTCTTATTAATAATGTCCCAAAGTATTAGTTCTGGAAGTGGTCAACAAATTGTTTATCTAATGTTATTTTGATAGATTATTCTATTAAAGAACTTTGAAAGGCAATTACTCAAAATCATGTTTATCTAGCCTCTAAGAGTACTGTATTTTCACTTTCCAATAACTGTAGCTTGAAATGTCCAATTTCAATGAATGACCCCTCATTTTAAAGATCACATAATCAGGTATCTGAAAGTACCAATAACTTTAATTTCAATTTTTGCTACAACTTATCCATTTTGCCACAACATGCCTCATTTATTTCAAACATAAACAAATTACAGTACATAAAAACAAAATTAATTTTCATGGACACTGTCATACTTAAAACATACAGTTGGTATGAATGTAGAAGGAAAACAAGACTTAGTTGTATATTTCTTAAAAGTCTAACCATATTCTACAATTCAACAAAAAAAAAACATTGATACTTACTATTAAAATAATTATTACAATTTACTATAGACAATAATTAATCCAAGCGTGCTGAACTGTGCTGGCAAAACATCCGCTGCTTAAACGCACTCCCTAATTTCTAATCATTATCTTCTACAGTTAGTTACTGCAAGTGTTGTTGTTATCATACAGAATATAGCATACATATTTTGAATACCATTCTTGAGTAAGCAGAGGCCACTATGGGCTGTGCCTTCTACACTTCTCAATTGCTCCATAAACTAACACCTATGGCAGACATTCAAGTGAAGCGTATGGTGTTAAGCAAAATATAAATTGTTTCCTGTATGAAACTATTTTCAATTTGGTCCATCAGTTATGTTTACTACCAACCATAATTAAATAATTTCATGGGTCAAAGACGGCTTTTGAATTGGAAAAAATGCAAAGAATTAATAAAAACATTTCCTTAAACCCATATAATTGCCTAAAGTAAAAAATACAGATAAGATACAGATACACTTGATGATGACATAACTAATGTCGAAATATTGAATCCCGACACGATGGCGTGCATTTCGATACTTGGAATATATATTATACTATCCTAAAAAATACAGGGTGCACTTGTTTTTCGATTGTGATACCGACTACTGAAAGTCAATAAAAAAGTATACTGTACTTTTTTCATCAGCGGAACACTTCTTAATGGATAGTACTGTATGTCCAGTTTACCAATCAATGAAAGGAATTCAACAAAGCAAAGTACAAAGTACAAAGGATACTACAGCAAAACTAAAATACATACCAAATCAAAAGTACAGTACTGTAAAACATAATACAGGTAAGTATAATAATAAGTTTGTTAAATTATAAAAAGATTGTCAATTGATGATTTTGTGTAATAACCTTTTTATCCAAACATACTTGTACTTTGTACTGTATTTTGATAAATACACTGAATTACTTTCTTATTCAATGAATAAGGAAAAAGTGGATACTATGAAACAAAGTGTACTGTGTAACTGCTTTGCAGTATTCCTGGCCCATGCTTCAAGTGGTTAATGCCTTGCATGACAAATAGAAAAAAATATGTTCGGCATCTAATAACATTCTTTCACTTACTGTTGCTGGTTTTAATACTTGTTACACCTCCCAGCAGAGGGAGAGCGGTAGGCCTACAGTATACTGGTTGCTCAAAATCTAAAATAATTTTGATTAATAAATATAATATTTTACCATTCATAAACTTGCATACTGTACTTAAGAAAAAATCCCTGTTTTTAAGATACAATATTTAAATAGCAACTCTTGAAAACTACTATATACTGTACAGTAGATGCTCAAAAAAATTGAATACTTAAAATGAATTTTCAATTGTAACACTAACAGTTTTACGATTAATGTTTACAGACACAGTATCTGTACTCGTCTTACCTTTACAATTATATAATCTGCAAGAAAGAACTGATTTACGAATATTCTTTGAATTACACTTGCGATGGAGGAGTTGTTTAAGACTAAAGCAGCTGATATCATATTTTTAGACTAGTTTTTTAATTCAACAAAATTATGAAATGAGCTGTACTACTGAGTATCCATATATGTTAGTTGTGCAAAGGACAGTTAATTACACAACAGTTGCTCAATCACACAAGTTTGCTTCAACGCTTTTCATAAGAATAATTGTAGAGCTGCACGACTCGATCAATAATGATTGGTTCAACAGGGAATGACCGCATCATTACATCATAACAACCTGATGAGTTCAATGATGTAAGTCATACTCTGCCATTGCACAACAATTCATAAGGCAGACGCTGCCTTTCTGTCAAGCATTTATCTGTTTGTTTTTCAATAAACTAATAAAAGCTATTAAAAAAAAAAACACCCCTTCAACAGCAAATACAATAACCTCAATTTAAATATTGCATTTAGTTTTTATAATTTTTGGAATTAATCTGCTTGAATTTAAATTTAGTGACTAACAGTACCTGTTTACAGGTGTATTTTCACACCATTTCAACAGTAACCTATTAAAATATTATTGTTGTTATACTAACTGTATTATTCTTATTGTAATAATAATACTGCCAGGGTCGTAGCTGCAGAAAACTAAGGATGGGTAGATGATAGCTTTGGTTACTTTAAATAATATGAGTGGATTTTAAGGATGGAAATCTGGGTTAATTATAAGGGTGGGTGGAGGACCATGAAATTAACTTCAGACTGGCTGGGTCCCACCCACCTCCACCACCATCCATACTTCAGTACAAATGTATAGCACTGATTTCAAATCAACAATCAGATTCAGTTTCAGTTTGATATCTCTTGTTAATTATTAATGAGACTTTTTATTTGTAACATACTATTGTGATAACTGCTACTGTATAATAATTCGGTGTGGAAATATGTTTACTAAGCGCGCCTCTCCACAGCTGCTGCTACAATAGTCACAACAGACCACACCCATACGTAATTCAGCATAATAACGCTGTAAGCTATATGTTATTTACCTACCTTTTTAATCATAAGTAATAAAAATAACTGATTTATATAATGCCAATTCCAAATGAAATGTGTTATCCTGTATTCTCTTAATTACTGTAATGAGAATTAAATTCAAATTTGAACACAATATTGGTATTAATATATCAGTTTTGAATTTCTTTTTAGTTTCCAATTTTTATACTAAACTCAAAGAGGTTTTCTAATTTCCTTGTACTGTAAAGTACAGTTTAGAGCCAAACATCCCAATTCAACATTGTTATTGTAGAAATCAAACAGAAAGAACAAGGAAATGCAGACATTTTTACTCCTACATACTTGATTGTAAAAGGTCAAACACTCAAAAATATTTTTCACTAAATAGTAAACAATAAATTGAAGGTCTGTGGCTTGGTGGTTTAGAAGCTCATCTTCCACTATCAACAAATAACTGTAAATCTGATCATGTTATCTACAGGAAATAATAACAAAATACTGTATTAACATGATTATTTCATTTATATTTCTATTTAGTATAATAAATTTTCAGGTTTTTTTTTTTAGTTGGCACCTACCTTAAAAAGTGTGGCACTCTTATAGTACATTTGAATATTTTGTTTGTTTGTCTAATGGTCTAATATTTGACCATCGTTTTTGTAAACCTCAATAAAATTAACTTGTATTAGAGCTTATTTTAAGTCCTAATATTATAATAATTTATTTGCATGTGTAATAATTAGCCATTAATTCATTAAAGACAAAGTGCTGACATCTTTGGTTTAAATTACTGTAGAATTTGTATGGGTAGTGGAAGTGGATGAGGAAATGGAAAAAGAGGATGTGTAGGAGGCTATATGTATGTAATAATTAAATTACTTTTAGAGCATTGCAAAGGTGTCAAATCACTATACAATTTGCTACTTTATCGTCATCACTGAAACTCCCAATGTTATTTGCCTATTCCCTACCGTCCACTAATTTTTTAGTTAGTGGACGTTTAATAGAAATATTCTAGACATATTTTAAAGACTCAAGGAACGAAATGAAGATGTAGAGCTGCCGAGGCCTCCTCCTACTACTAGCCTAGGACGTATAGCGTAGCGTACTGTAGTTATGAAATCCTCCCATGATTTTTACCTGTCTGCACCGACCAAAAAGTTAGTGACAGCGACTGTATTCTCTCTTGAATGCTTTGAAAATTGTTCTTTGACGAATGTGAAAAATTACAAACAAGTTCTAACACAACACAAATTACAAAATAGCCTAGTTATTCATCGTATCTGTACAGTACTGCTGATGTGTAGTTAACACGTAGGCGCTGCCTACTGCAGGAGCACAAATTAGCATATGCACAAAATATAAATACGCACACAGTTTACTGATCATATCACTATAGCAACCGATGACTGGTACAACACAGTTGGTTATAAAAACTAACATTAAAAGACAGGCGATTGACTTATAAAGCAATTAGTAGAGCATGCATCATACACAAGCGGAAAATTATTATACTCAGGTTAGATTTAATGCATTCAAAAATTTTTTCTAGCATTAAATCTAACCTTCGTATAATTATTTTCCTATAGTGTACTATGCGGAGCTCTACTAATTACTTAATATGATTACAAGAATCATAACAAAACCTTGCACCAAGATGTTTTCTTTTTCATTGAAATTGTTTGGCTTATTTCAAATCAAGCTTCAGCTACTTTCTTCATGTAACTTTGGCTTAATGTGGTATATGCACAATTCTGTTGCATATATTATATATTTGCCTGTGTAAAATTGAATAAATAATAATAATAATAAAAATATGTAATCTAATGTTTAATGTTAATCATCCTTGTAGTACTGATAGTTAATTGCTACAGTATTTCGTACTTGAATTTCGCTTTACTCCAAAAATCAAGACACATATATGCATGCTTTGTATAATATAGACAAGAATGTACTATACACTGCAAAATTTTGAATAATATCCTACTACAGTATACGGTAATAAGTCACAAACAAGTTAATGTGTGTGATTTTGGAGGTTACAGACAATGCACAGAGCCTGAATTACATCCAAATTAAAAGTTAAATCATGTCATTTAAAACCCCTACATGTAAATCTCATCAAATATGATCTTGCACGTAGAAGATATGATTTGAGCGTATGATATCGTGACGCAAGGATTAGATATACCAGTAGATTGCCTCAAATAAAAAAAGATGGTCAGATACGTTTTATTAGTCCAATGAGAAACTTAACAGAGATTAAAATGGTATTTTGAAATTTCAGTTTTTGAATCAAGTTCAATAAAACCATAATTTTTTGGGCTTTGTCTCTACTGTAACCCCAACATGGGACATTTTATTGTTTGTATACCAAGCAAGTCCAGCTGAAAAGACCAGAAGAAAACCATGTTTCACTATGTGAACTTACTGTACAGTAGAAAGAGTAGAATTCAACAAAGAACTAGGTACTTAGTTTAATTTAATTTCATGATTAATCAGGTTGTGGTTTACTATGCAAAAACCACGATTATAGAGCTTTTACAGAGCAATTTATAGTTTTGCACATTGTTGATTACAGTTAACCCATTACTGTACATTTATGGAGAGGGGGAGCAATAGATACAGGCCAGATATTGAAGTTGTGGATATGACTCCTTACAAAAAAGCAACAAAAAAAATCTTTTTTTTTTTTTTTGC